GCTCTTCCTGGGTGAGCCAGTCGCTCGCTGGCCATTGGACAGCCGCTCACAGCGGCTCACGGCAGCTCATGAAATCTCATGCCCGCTGCCGGCCAGCCCCACTGCAGCCTATGCCGTCGCCTGCGACTCACAGCAGCCCAGCTCCAGGTTGAGCTGTTGTTCAGCATCTTATCTGTAGAGGGCAGTGTCACTGGCCCTCATGTGGGATCCAAACCGGGGTCCTGCTGCTCAGAGCTGGCATCCCAAGCCAGCTCTTAACCAACGTGCCACTCAGCCGGCCCTAAAATGCACAGATTTAAAATGTGCATTATAAGTTTTTCATCATGAAAATTTTCAAGCACACCGAAAAGTTGAATTTTACAGTGAACACCCATATACCCGCCAGCTAGATTCTACCATTAATATTTTACTATATTTGCTGTAGCATCTATCTATCCATCCCTATATCCATTTTATTTTTTGATGCATTTCAAATTGCAGAAATCAGTATACTTCCCTGTAAATATTTTAGCCTGCATATCTTTAAGTAGAGCTCAATGTTAACAAGTTTTTTTTGTTGTTTTTTTAAAGATTTTATTGGGGAATTGGGGGGAGGGGAACAGACAGGTAGACAAATTGCTGTTTTTGTTCTTCAGTCTAGTTGTGGAGGACGTTGCTTCACTGGCCCATGTTGGTATGATCATTGTACTCTTCCCGGGTGAGGCAATTGGTTGCCGGTCATTGGTCGGCCACTCACAGCGGCTCCCAGCAGCCCCCTGCAGCCCCGCTGCAGCCTACGCCGTTGCCGGCGACTCATGGGAGCCCAGCTACAGGTCGAGCTGTTGTTCACCATCTTAGCTGTAGAGGGCAAGCGTCACTGGCCCTCAGTGTGGGATCCAAACCGGGGCCCTGCTGCTCAGAGCTGGCGCTCCCAAGCGAGCTCTTAACCAGCTGAGCCACTCGGCCGGCCCACAAGTTTTTTTTATTTAGGTAAAATTCACATAACTAAAATTAACTTTGTTAAGTGTACAATTCATTGTCGTGTAGTACATTCACAATGTTTACAACCATATCCAAAACACTTCATCACCCCAAAAGGAAACCCTGTAACCATTTATTAGTTACTTCCCATTCCCCACTTCCCCTAGTCCTTGCCAATCTGCTTTTTGGCTCTGGATTTATCTATTCTGGATATTTCACATAAACGTAATCATATAATATGTGACTTTTGTGTCAGGTGTTTTTCACTTAGCATAATGTTTTTGAGGTTCATCCATATAATATTTGTAATTTGTAATTTTTATATACAAAAAATGCAAACTTTTAAGTGTATATTTGCTTAGTTTTGGCCAGTTCATACATTGCATAACCCAACCCCCTATCAAAATACAGAATACTACCATCATCCCAGAAAGTTCCCTCATGCTTCTGCCCAGTCAGTCCCCCATCTGGAGGCAAACACTGTTCTGATTTTTTCCACCATAGATTAGTTTTGCCTGTTTTTGAACTCCATGTAAATGGAATCATACTGTGTGTACTTTTTCTGTAAGGCTTCATTCACCCAGTATATGTTTTGAGATTCATCCATATTGTTGCATGTATCAGTGTTGGTTCCCTTCTCTCTCTCTCTCTCTCTCTTTTTTTAGTTGGTTCCTTTTAGTTACTGAATAGTATTCCATTGTATAAATACACTAAAATTTGTTTATCCTTTTACAGTACAATTTGTTTATCCTTTCACCTATTGATGACCATTTGTAGGTTGTTTTTAAATGGGGTTGAGGAGAATCATTATCCTGTTGTTTCCCAGGAAAGCCAATTCTTTTTTTTTTTTTACAATCTGATTCTTTTGTTTTTTTCAAGATTTATATTGGGGAATTGGGGGATGGGAACAGACAAGTTGCTGTCCTTTTGTTCTTCAGTCTAGTTGTGGAGGACGTTGCTTCACTGGCCCAAGTTGGCACNGCCTACGCCCTCGCCGGCAACTCAAGGCAGCCCAGCTCCAGGTCGAGCTGTTGTTCACCATCTTAGCTGTAGAGGGTGCAGCATCACTGGCCCTCATGTGGGATCCAAACCAGGGCCCTGCTGCTCAGAGCTGGCGTCCCAAGCCAGCTGTTAACCAATGCGTCACTCGGCTGGCCCAAATTTGACCTTTTTAGAACCTGTGTTCACAGGTTCATAAAAGTAAAGAAGAAAAAATCAGCATCATAATTTGAAAAGATACGTGACTAAAAGTAATTTGTTCTTTGAGACTATTAAATGGTATTACAGTTTACAGTATGAAAGTAAATTCACATGTGAATATAATTAAGTTATAATAGTCTTGGATCAGGTTGGCCTACAAGACAAACCTTTTTCAGAGAACTCTGCTTCTTAGGTGAAATTAGGAAAGACTAAAAGTAACAGAAATAGGACACAGTCCCAACACTGCCTTAAAAGGCTTTTATGCTAGAAGGACATTACTGGAGATTCCAGCTTTACCACTTCTAGCTGTTTGATCTTGGGCAAGATTCTTAACTTCTCTAAGACTCAGGTTACTCATTTATAAAATTAGAATAATAATGCCACCTCCTAGGGTTTTTGTTAGGATCCAATTAGATTATTCATGTAAAGCACTAGTGCCTGGCACATGGTGAGCATTCACTCATTCGTTCAACAAATAGTTTTTGAGTATTCTGTGCCAGGTACTGTTTGACGTGCAAGGAATATAGTAATTCAGACTGACATAAATCCCTGCCTTCGTGGAACTTACGTTTTAGTGGGTGAGACAGACAATAAGCACATAAGTAAAATATAAATATCTTATATGGTATAAGTGCCAAGGAGAAACAGTTAATTAGGGGCTAGAGGGTATGAAAAGAGGGTTAGGAAGCTCATTGAGAAAGTGAGTTTTGAAAAGAGACCTGAAGGATGCAAGGGAGGATATAATAAATAAAAGCTATTCTTCTTGTTATTATCTGTGCTTTGTCTTTAAATACCGTGTCATTAATATTGAAATTCCTAGTTTTGAATGCACCTTAAAAAAAAAGTCTTCTCAATTTGAATTTAAATAACTTTAGAAAAGTATCTTTTTGTTTTTTAAACCTCTTGCTCAGGTACTTGTTTTGGCTCCTACAAGGGAACTGGCAAACCAAGTAGCCAAAGACTTCAAAGATATAACTAGGAAACTCAGTGTGGCGTGTTTTTATGGTGGAACATCATATCAAAGCCAAAGTGAGTAAATATGTGTGATAGCAGCTCAACGATCTCTTTGCCACTTAACTCTAAAGAAATAATAGGAAAATACATATTTGACTTACATATCACTGATATTTCTCTCCTCTCACAGTTAATCACATTCGAAATGGTATTGACATCTTGGTTGGGACCCCTGGTCGTATCAAAGACCATCTGCAGAGCGGCCGATTAGATCTTTCTAAACTGCGCCATGTTGTGCTTGATGAAGTGGATCAAATGTTAGATTTAGGTTTTGCTGAACAAGTTGAAGATATTATCCATGAATCCTACAAAACTGGTATATCCTAATTCAAAATAAGTATATTAGCAATTATTCTCTTAGCTAAAAGCTTATGAGTATTTCATAATTTTTATTACATTGATTCCAGTGTTCTAACAAAATTATTTGGTATCTGTTCTCTTCCTGAACAAGAAAGTATGATAGCATACTTTAGCTATTTTCTTAGCTTTCTATGCTTTCTTCCATGTATTTTTTTATAGTCAGTAGTTAGATTTACTAATTCATTTTACTGATTTCTTTGCTCATTGTTCCTTCTTAAATTCTCACCTTCCTTCTGGATTCAGTTTTCTTCATATTTCCCCCCAGTTTTGAAAATTGAAATTTTAAATAATTTCAGTGAAGTTTGTATGTTCAAAATTCACTCTATGTTTTGAATTTTTCATTGTTTTCTTGAAGTTTGGGGGGATTTTTAAGAGTGGACTACACCATGGGGTATTAAGAAAGCGTTTGAATTCTTTTTGTTTATTTAAGATTCTGAAGACAATCCTCAGACTTTACTTTTTTCTGCAACTTGCCCACAGTGGGTATACAAAGTTGCAAAAAAATACATGAAATCCAGATATGAACAGGTTGACCTTGTTGGAGAACTGACTCAAAAGGCTGCAACTACTGTGGAAGTAAGTAGCTTTCCAACATGATAGATTTTAACTTTTAGTTGGTATTTGGAAATTTGCTGAAGCCAAACATAAGTTTTTTTATACCAGTTCAGGCCAAATCTCTGTTTATTGCCCTTAGTCAATAAGATACTTATGTATTTCTGTAGTCCGAGACAAAGGAGCAGAATAGGATAAATAGGTGGGAAAAGCATATGACTAGGCAAGTCCTAACAGGAGATAATCAAGCAGCCATAGAGACAAAGAATGTAGAATGTGACAAAGCAGACAGTGCATATCAATGCAAAAGGAATAGTGCTGGGATATTTGTTAAAGCTTAGGCGAAAAAAAGTTAGCTCCTGATCTCATCTCATACCTTATAGCAAAAAAATTCCCCAAAAATTAAGACATAAAATTACTTAAAGCAGATGCAGATGAAAGTTATTTGATTCCAGGAAAAAGAAGGCTTTTCTAAACATAAAGTCTGAAGAATATACCGTAAAGAAAAAGGCTGATAATTTTGACTTCATGAAAATTTAAACTAATAGTATGTTTTTTTTTTAAAAGAATTAAAGGTAATATTTGCATGATTTATGACAGTCAGTTATGGACCATGTGTATAACTTTTCCATTCCATTTAGTAGATGTATATATATATGTGTATGTAGATAAATATAGGCTAAAATATATTTTGTTTATATAGTATAATTTGTAAATACAATATAATGGTTAAAAAGAATGAATTTTTAACCAAATTATAAATATGTACAGACTCATACTATTTTTTTTTTAAATACACAAAAATGCTATGGATTATTTGGGTATTTCTGTTAATGTACAGAGATAGGTTGGAAGCATAAATATCAAAATAATAATTACTTCTGGGAAAGAGGATTCTTATAGTATGGGATGAGCAAAGGAAGCTTTATGTATTTTGTAATGGTTGAAAGTTTTACAATAAGTATGTATAATGTATCAGTGAAAAAAATTTATTAAGGATATTTTAAAACATATACAAAAAGTGGCTGGCTGAGTGGCTCAGTTGGTTAAGAACTCGCTCAAGAGTAAGAGCTCTGAGCAACAGGGTCGCCGGTTTGATTCTCGGCCCAAGCTGAGGTGCCAACAAGTGGTAGGATGGCTCAGCTAAAAAAACCAAAAAAAAAACATATACAAAAAATGAATAGTATAAGGGATCTGATGTGTACCCATCACCGGGCTTTAAGAATGATCTTTTCTATGCCCCCATATATTCTCATCCCTACATTTTAAGCAATCTAGTCATCGTTTCAGCTCATGTAACTGTATACATTTTTAAAAGGATAAGGACTCTTAAAAAAAAAAAA